GACCACATCCAAGAAACTACAGACCAATCAGTCTGACATCGATACCTGGGAAGATCCTGGAAAAGATAATCAAGCAACAGATCTGTGAACATCCAGAAACAAGGAAAGTTATAACCAGAACCCAACACAGGTTTGTCAAAAATAGATCATGCCAAACAAATCTTATTTCATTTTTTGATAAAGTGACTAAGTTAGAGGATCAGTGAAATGCAGTGGACATAATATATCTGTATTTTAGTAAGGCATTTGACAAAATAGACCACAACCTACTTCTTGGTAATTTAAAAAAATGTGGGGTAGACAGCATCACCACCAGATGGATTTGTAATTGCACTCAATATGTAATCCTTAATGGAACTACGTCTACATGGAGGGAAGTAAGCAGTGAGGTACCCCAAGGTTCCATTTTAGGCCGAATAATAATAATAGTAGTAATAATAATAGCACTACCTTGACGTGGTTGTGGGGCTTGTGTACTCTGAGGAAGATGAGAGCTATGCCAGAGGTTCAACTATACTGGACAGGTCTCATCAGAGGAGTCAGACAAATATGGTGAGATGTAAATTTCAGAATGCCATACCGGCTTGGATGTCGCCCAGGTTAACAAGGTCTGCGCTAGATATTGGAGTTCCTGGATATCTGGTGAAAAATGGGTTACAGGACTCAGGACTGTTGGCTGAGCAACCAGGGCCAGCAGCTGCAGAACTACTGGAAGAAAAGGTGTCTATCCGTCGCAGATACACAGTGATTGAAAACAAAGAAATAATAATAAATTATTTATAATAATTTATTATAATAATAATAAAATTAAACTGTTCTGGGACTTCAGAATTCAAATAGACAAGCACCTGCAACATAACACCCCAGACTTAACAATTGTCAATAAGAAAGACAAAAAAGTCTGGATAGTGGACGTGGCAGTGCCTGGAGATAGCAGAATAGAAGAGAAAGAACTGGAGAAGATAACAAAATACAAAGACCTACAAATAGAAATAGAAAGACTGTGGCAAAAGCAAGCAAGGGTAGTACCAATAGTCATAGGCTCCTTGGGTGCAATCCCAAAACAACTGGAGCACCACTTGAACACAATTGGCATTGACAAATTCGCTATTAGTCAATTGCAAAAGGCAGCCTTATTAGGAACTGCTTCCATCCTGCGACGATATCTGGAATACCATCAAACATCCACATCTGCCTATCCCAGGTCCTGGGTAAGGACTCGATAGGTAGACAAAATGCCAAATCCAGTCTGAACATCTGGCTGACTGTGCGATGATCGATAATAATAATAATAAAGTTGGAAGGGATCTTGGAGGTCATCGAGTCCAACCCTCTGCTCAGGCAGGAAACCCTACACCATTTCGGACAGATGGCTGTCCAGTCTCTTCTTAAAAACTTCCAGTGTTGGAGCATTCACCGCTTCTGGAGGCAGTTTGTTCCATTGGTTAATTGTTCTAACCATCAGGAAGTTTCTCCTTAGTTCTAGGTTGCTTCTCTCCTTGATTAGTTTCCATCTGTTGCTTCTTGTCCTGCCCTCAGATGCTTTGGAGAAACTCTTTAACATCTTCATAAATGATTTGGATGAGGGAATAGAAGGGGAACTCATCAAATTTGCAGACACAGTAAACTGGCAGGAATAGCCAACACCTCAAAAGATAGGTTCAAAATCCAGATGAATCTCACAGTCTTGAATCCTGGATCTTATCTAATAAAATGAAATTCAATTTAGAGAAAAGTATGATTTTATAATTAGGCAAAAAAATCAAATATCCAGGTACAGATTAGATGAAACCTGGCTCAATCTCAGTAACTGTGAGAGGAATCTTGGGGTCCTAGTGAATAATCACTTAAATATGAACCAGCAGTGTGTGGCAGCAGCCAAAAAAGCCAATGCAATCCTAGACTGCATTAACAGAAGGATAGAATCAAGATCACATGAAGTACTAGTACTGTTTTATAAAGTCTTAGTAAGACCACAGAATACTGCATTGAGATTTGGTTACCATATTATAAAAAAAGATGTAGAAACTCTGGAAAGAGTGCAAAAAAGATCAACAAAGATGATTAGAGAAGGTTGGAGGCTAAAATATATGTAGAACAGTTGCAGGAATTGGGTATGTCTAGTATAGTGAAAAAAAGGACTGGGATGACATGATAGCAGTGTTGCAATATTGAAGGGACTGCCACAAAGAGGAGGGGGTCAACCTATTTTTCAAAGCACAAGAAGGCAAGACAAGAAACAATAGATGGAAATGGATCAAGAAGAGAAGCAACCTAGAACTAAGGAGAAATTTCCCAACAGTGAGAACAATTAACCAGTGGAACGGCTTGACTTCAGAAGTTGTGGATGCTCCATGACTGGAGTTTTTAAGAAGAGACTGGACAGCCACTTGTCTGGAATGTTATAGTCTCCTGATTGAGCATGGGGTTGGATAGAAGACCTCCAAGGTCCCTTCAAATTTGTTTTTCTCTTCTGAGGTATTGACTTAAATCTAACTGTATTGAAAATACTAGGACTTAAGCACATAACTATTTTTATTGATTCCCTTTTAATAGGACGTAATGTGTATAATTATGGTTTTCAGATGAAAAATTGTTTCACATTTAAACTAATATACATATTAGTTTAATAGGACTCTGGGCACAAAATTATACTATATAAAACCAATTCTAAACAGATGCATGGCCTGTGACTTTAGGACTGCAGCTGATGCCTCTTGACTAATAAAGCTTTAAAAATAGTTTAATTATATAATTATGCACTATCTTAACAATATTCTAAAGAGGCAGTTAAATACAGGGAAAAAAATCCCTCTCTCTCATCCTTTCACCACACACACTTAGGATGTTATTTCTCTTTATGTGTTTACTTTTTTGAGTACAAAAGCCAGGACCAAATTTTCTAACATTTTATTATAAAGAATGTCATTCATCTCAAAGGAATTCTTTATATGGAAGATTTGTTCTGTCAGTCATACATTCCAAGCCATTGCACTTCTCAAGGTACCAATTTAACTTTAGCTAAATTATATTACTTAGGGCAGATTTCTGAATTTGTCACATCTAGTAGTGAAGAGAAAGGTTAATCTTATTTGAAACCTTAGAATATCATGGTACCACAGTTTCAGAGTTGTTGTCTTATTGATGTTGTTGTGATGCTATTTTAAGATACATCGGTACATTCTGATTATTGACTACTTGGATATTTCTCATTTTGAAGGTAACATGACAGATTGTTTTTGGAACCTACTGGTACTTAATGTTAGTAAAGCCCCTAAATTTAGTCTAGGAGTATGGGACAGAAGTTCAGAGACTTACTTGATTTTACTTTCTTTCTTTTATCCCATTCACTGTACCAAATGGCCTATATGAAAAATGAGTTGTAGCAAATTCAGAAGTTTCATCATCCTTGTATCCAACACTAATTCTCTCAGCCTTTTTTCATAAATGTGAATTAAGATGTATATTCATTCCTTTGCCATGTGTGTGCATGACCAAATGCTTATACTACATATTCTAAATAGAACATTTTTAAAGCAGACACTGACCAGCTGCCATTTTCATTCTTTCTTAGATGTCTGAATCAGTTGATATTGTGTACCCTCACTATGGTGCACTGGACTCTTATTGTTACTTCTCAAACTGGTCTGTGATATTATACTGTCACTTGGATATACTGAGATGTCTCCATAAGCCATCATTTTCGCAGAGTGAGTTAATTCTAGAAAGTGGAGTAAAGCAAACAGCAGAAAAGTCTAATCCTGACTCTAGTGTCTTTTGTGAAAAAGGTAAAACAATCTCATTTTGTTCCCACCCATTCATTTTTATCAATTAGTCAGATTTTCTTCCTTTGGATCACATTCTTCAGAACATTTCCCCCAGGAACTCATATTAAATTATTTCATTTTCATAATTCACAGGAGTACCATATACCTATCATCAATCTATTAATTCCTACCTCCATAATTATCAGTACAATGGATGACATTAGCTCATACTTCTCTAGAAATCTTCTCCAAATCTTTGTACCCTATGCATGTATTCATCTAGCTCACTCTAAAAGATCAGACCACCTTCACTCAGATCTAATATATATTTCTCTTTTATTTATGCTAGTCATTTAATTTATTAATTCCTGCTGTTCTATCTCTTTTTACATTTCAAGCCATGGTCTTCTGTATGCCACTACAATCAACAGGAGGGTCCGTAGGTATTGCCTTCTTATGCCCACCCTCACTTTAATCAATTAGGTCTTCTATGTTATGTTTTTTTCATAAGATAGAGAAATATAGACTAAGTTATTAGCCTTAGTGATACCTTTGCCAACAGCATGGAAACAATATAGATCAGTTAAGGCATGTTTTGTCCAGTTTGCCAGAACTGCAATTAAAATCAAATTTTACTCTAAGAACACTGAATTTATTCTCTGCTAGCTACCAGTAGAAACAGGGCAAGATTTTTTTATCTGGTCCTCCTTTGCATAAGGAGTACTAAAGCATGAAATACTCTAAGATGCTTGAAAGCTTGCTGTATTGCTTTACCACCGTCTTCAATTATTCTGCTGGAATAATGCACAGAACATAGCTATGCTATATGAAGTAGCCGTTTGTGGCTACTTCACACTGTCACACAAAATAGACCAAGAGATTTGTCTGTTACATGCCTTCTCTCACTGAGCCTCCTTGAAAGATTTTGTTGCACAACTATTTGTTTATTTACAATCTTTATTCCATATTTTCATAACTGTCACCTCCTAATATTTTGTTACAGTAACAAAAGACTAACAAATGAACACACACATACACACAAATACACGACACACACACACTCCCCTTATATTTCTTCTTGTGTATTTGTATTCTACTCTAGAGAAATTAACTAAGAGATATCTTCCCATTTACAACTAATACTGAAATCATACAATATGGTGGGCTTTTTTGCTACTTTTGTAAGAAAAAATAGTAATGTTCAGCGAATTGTCATATGTGCCATTTACTAACCATTCACCTGAAGAATGTGGGTCTGATACAATTCTTCATAGCCATAGGCATGACACGTGTAATTGCCCATGTGAATAGTTGTTACCTTGGTTATGTAGAGAGAGTCATCTTCTCCAAAATCCTGTAAATAAACAAAAAAGAGGGTGGGGGAAGGAGAAACCTCTCATTTAGCAAATGTGTTTGAAATGCTGCAAGAAACTAAGCTAACACTGGTTGCTTTGACAATTGCTCTTCCCTCTGAATTGCATTTTTAATATGTTTAGATTCATTGGCGAAAAGAATAAGAGGCCACATGCAAATACCAAAATGAGAAAAAAATATCACAACTTAGTACCAGCTTCTGATTTCTAAAAAAAGCATACACACATAAAATTCAATATGCTGAGTCTATAATGAAAAAAAAAATGACAAATTACAAGGCAAACTACTCTGGGGGACAGCTTTAGTCTAGGAGACTGGAAATGAAAGCTCCATGCATTATCTATTAAATGAATACTTGAACTGGCCTTCAGTTATCTGAAAAAATACGTTTGTAAATGGATTTTTCCATCCCTTTCTCCCTCAAAATCAGTAATGAAACAGGGATAAGGAGGTTATTTCTCTTTTAAATAAAACCTTCTGATTTTTAATTACCTATATTATGGCTTATCTCATTTGGGGAGAAAAAAATCCTTCCTCCTTACATGGGTTGCTTATTGTATAATTTGGAATGATAATTCTGCTTGAGAAATTGAAATATTTGTAAGATTTCAAAATGCGGGTATGTTGGCCTTATCACATTGTTCCAAATGATGCTATACAAGCTCCTATATTGATGAATAAACACAGGCAGCAGCTGTTTTTCTATTTTCATTAGTATGCAGAATTGGCTGTGCTGAATTGCTTATACTTTTATATACCACCCACAACAATACATTTAAAAACCATACTTAATTAGCTTGAAGAATTATCTTCTGGTTTTAATTAGCTTAGGGGATGACATGTGCAAAATGTACCCTTTACATGCAGAGCTGTCATGCTGAAAAAGAAAATGTTTTTCAGACACAAAATAATAACACTGTTTTTACTTCTCAGTTCCAAGAAAGGAATTCAGGATTTCCAGAGCTGATACATAGAATTACAGGATGTTAGAGATGAAAAAGGTCTAAGTAGTCATTTAGTTCTACGTCCTTGGTCAAGGAGAGAATCCTGCAATTCATTATCTCTGACAAATGGTCAACTCTTTGTTTAAACATCTCCCTAAATCAAAGTCTGCCACCTTCCAAATCTGATATAGTCAGTTTATGGTGAAAAAAGTAAGGTTCTACATTTAGGCAAGAAAAAACAAATGCACAGGTATAGAATTGGTGATACCTTGGTCAATAGTAGCAACTGTGAGAGGGATCTTGGAGTCCTAGTGGACAATCACAGCTGCAGCTGCCAAAAAAGCCAACACAGGGCTAGGCTGCATTAACAGAGGGATAGAATCAAGATCACGTGAAGTATTAATACCACTTTACAATGCCTTGGTAAGGTCACACTTGGAATACTGCATCCAGTTTTGGTCACCACGATGTAAAAATATGTTGAGACTCTAGAAAGAGTACAATTATGAGCAACGAAGATGATTACGGGACTGGAGGCTAAAACAGATAAGGAACGGTTGCTGGAATTGGGTATATCTAGTCTAATGAAGAGAAGGACTTGGGGTGACATGATAGGAGTATTCCAATATCTCAGGGGCTGCCACATAGAAGAGGGAGTCAGGCTATTCTTCAAAGCACCTGAAGGCAGGACAAAAAGCAATGGATGGAAACTAACCAAAGAAAGAAGCAACCTAGAACTAAGAGACTGGACAGCCATTTGTCTGAAATGGTATAGGTGATTGACTAGATGACCTCCAAGGTATCTTACAACATCATCATCATCGTTGTCATCGTTGTCATCATCATCGTCGTCGCTGTTGTTAGTATTATTATCAATGAACTTATATAGCAATAGCACTAAGCCTTATATAATGTCCCATAGTGCTTTATAGCACTCTCTGGGCAGTTTACAATGTCAGCATTATTTTCATATTGCCCCCAACAATCTGGGTCCTCATTTTACTGGCCTAAGAAGGATGCATGACTGAATTAATCTTGAACCCCATCAAACTTCAGGCTGTGGGCAGAGTTTGCTGTAGTACTGCATTCTAAGCACTGTGTCATTAGGGTTCCCATATAAGTAATCTTTTCAATTTGTGAAGCTGTTTCCATTTTTATTTATTTATTGTGTATTTGTTGCACTTCTATGCCATTTGTAGCACCAAATTCCAGGTGGAGTAAAGCCTTTTGAAAAGGGGCTGTATTAGGCAACTTTCTGTATCATGCTTGTTCCCAACATCCCATAATTGCATTGCCAAATTGGGAAGGGTGTGCAATTTGAAATGGATCACATTAGTCTGGAAAGTTCATATGTGATTGGCTGATTTTCAGATATAGTCTGCCAAATAGTTTTCCCGCAATTATTCCCTATTTATTTACTTTATATTTATATTTACAACAATAATAATAATAATAGACCGAGGGACTAATTCTGGCTGCACAAGACCAAGCCTTAAGGACAAATGCATACAAAGTCAAAATTGAGAAGACAGCAACAGACAGTAAATGCCGCCTATGCAAAGAAGCTGAAGAAACAGTGGACCAGTGGTAAGCTGTTGCAAGAAGATTGCACAAACTGATTACAAGCAGCGGCATGACAAAGTAGCAACAATGGTGCATTGGAAGATCTGCAAAAAAAATATCATTTGCCTGTATGCAAAAACTGGTGAGATCATAAAATAGAGAAAGTCATAGAAAATGATAAAATTAAACTGCTTTGGGACTTCAGAATTCAAACAGACAAGCACCTGCAACATAACACCCCAGACTTAACAATTGTCGATAAGAAAGACAAAAAAGTCTGGATAGTGGACGTGGCAGTGCCTGGAGACAGCAGAATAGAAGAGAAAGAACTGGAGAAGATAACAAAATACAAAGACCTACAAATAGAAATAGAAAGACTGTGGCAAAAGCAAGCAAGGGTAGTACCAATAGTCATAGGCTCCTTGGGTGCAATCCCAAAACAACTGGAGCACCACTTGAACACCATTGGCATTGACAAATTCGCTATTAGTCAATTGCAAAAGGCGGCCTTATTAGGAACTGCTTCCATCCTGCGACGATATCTGTAATACCATCAAACATCCACATCTGCCTATCCCAGGTCCTGGGTAAGGACTCGATAGGTAGACAAAATGCCAAATCCAGTCTGAACATCTGGCTGACTGTGCGATGATCGATAATAATAATAATAATATCCAGTTTCTGGATTCCAGTCCTATTCTCTGGAAAAACAAAACATAGTATGCCCATAAAATAGTAGGCTTCCAGTTGCAATTCAAATTGCTGATTGACATCCTTAAAGATCTACATTTATGGGCCCAGGTTATTTGTGGGAACACCTCACCCTAATGGCTTCAATCTGTATCATCTGACCTGGCAGAGCTCTAGGTCATCTGGATGAGAAAATATCACCTTGCGGACCTTAGGAAATATGCCTAATTTGTCATGTTGCCTGTCCTATTGAACACACACACACGCACACACACACACACACACACACACACACACACACCACCCAAATATGGACAATCTCAGCCTTTCAGGAAGCCATAGAAACTTTGTATTTCCTCCAGGATTAGTTTGGGAGCTCTCATGGTGAAATATGAAGATATTTTATATTTCTAATGAGAGGACCTTGAACTGGGTTTTGTTTTGTTTTATGGGTGATATTTTTAATGGTATATTCACTGCCCAGATAAATAGGCAGCTTTCCAAATTTGATAAGCAAACTTATCAAACTTCTCCTAAATCTTCTGTTAAATCTTTCCCCTAATTCTTCAGATTAAATGTACACAAGTCCTTCAACTGTTCCAGAATCTCCCTCTCCACAATGTTAACATGGGTTGACATTTGGATCTGCCAGGTACTTTCTTGGACATTTATGCTAGTTAGTAAAATTTAAATGAACTAGTGAAATTTTTCATACAGTTACATCGGAGACATCGCTACCAAGTGACTGAGAAAATTGGATGCTGAAAATAAGTTTGTGAAACTCGATATGTTAAGTCATCATGATATGTAAAGTCTTCACGGTTCACCTGTTCTTAAAGCATGAGTAAAAAAATAGTAAGTATTTCAATTGTCATCTTAGATTCCAGAGTTGCTAAAAGCTATTGAATAATCTTATTTGATTATTTTTTTCAAAAAGGCATAGAAAATTCTTTCATATTCTTATCATATATACATAAAAAGCAAACCATAGAGAATCACAAAATTATTCTTACATACAATAGGCCCTAATATAGGTAGTCTTCAACTTATGACAATTGAGCCCAAAATTTCTGTTGCTAAGTGAGACAGTTGTTAAGTGAGTTTTGCTCTATTTTACAACCTTTATTGCCACAGTTGTTAAGTGAATCACTGCAGTTGTTAAATTAGTAACATGGTTGTTAAGTGAATCTGGTTTTCCCCATTGACTTTGTTGGTCAGAAGGTCTCCAAAAATGATCACATGACACCAGAACACTGCAATGGTCATAAGTAAATGCCAGTTGACAAGCATCCAAATTTTGATAATGTGACTGTGGTGATGTTGCATTGGTCAAGGGGTCTGAAAACCAGTCTTAAGTCACTTTTTTTAGTCCCATTGTAACTTGGGTCACTAAATGAAGTATTATAAGTCAAGAGCATACCTGCATATGTTTATCAATGGATAAATGGGACAAATATATATATATATATATATATGTGTGTGTACATATGTATGAGGACAATTTGGAAATAAACCTCTGTTTGGTTATCAATGACAGACACTTGCAGATACAGAATTTTTATTATACACATTAGAAAACTACAACATTACATTACTTTTTGACATAATCGCCATTCAAACTGAGGCACTTGTCATAACGTCTTACAAGATTTGAAATTCCTTAGTAGCAGTCACTTGGCACTAAAATCTGGGCTATGGGGGGGGTTGATCAAAAACATCCCAACGGAACTGCTTCAGAAGTTTTTGGGTGCATCTAGAGGTATGTGGGCGAGCTTTATCGTGA